GCATTAATTTTTTTCTGAATTTCTGATTAGTTTGCATCATTTGCTGCCAATTTAGCCAACTGATCTTCCTTCTCATTTCCTTATTTTCTTATGTACGCTGGAACCCAGCAAAGTATTGGTAATTTATTTTCATGAATTCTTGGCAGAATTTACCTAATATTATGAACGTTTTGACTTTTCATTCCCTTAATGGAATCGCTGTAAATCATAACTTCTTTTGAAATGTTATTTTATTAATATCTGCTGCTTTCAATGCGCAAGCTCAGCTTGAGAGTTTGTGTTGCTTTTGAAAATTTGTGTTTGTTTTAGCCTTCTTTACCAAGTGTATATTCCTCAATCTGGACTTGATATAACAGACAGTATGGCTTTCCCTCCACTGGGATGACACTCAAATTCCCTGTGGCGTTCATCAATAGGTTAGAAGTCACCTCGTCGGTGTAAATGTAGAAGTTAAAAGAGATCCTAATGCTTTTAATTATTAAAAGTTAAAGCTAAAAAATTTATAACGTTTCATTATTTTAAATATTGCATTTTAAAACTATGTTTTTTGGTGTGATTCAAATTCTAAAGCTAGAAGTCAAATTTCTTTTACTAAAATAAATTTATATATTTTCATAACCAATTTGTCGCTTCTTGTGTTGTTCACCTGAAGCAAGTACTTCATTTGCCTTATCTTTGTTCAGACTCTGAGACAAACCATGAAGTTTTCGAAAAAATTGAAAAAAAAAAAATCTTTTAGATGTCCGAAAAATACAATATCAATCTTTGTCTTTTTCTGACCATGGAGACATTTACAGTTTTTCATTTTTGTCGCCATTACGTTGCATTATGCTACCAGGGTATTTATCATTCATTCGGTCTTGAAATCTACCAAGGTTCTGAGGCTTTGCTAGGCTAACAAGGCTTAAGATCTTAAAATTGCTTTACAAATTAAAATTACATATCGCTTAATTAATTGAGTAAAATTTAAAAATGTAAGAATACCTAATAATTTATATATTTGTTTTATTTCAACTTTTGCCATATAATTTCAGTTGATAAAATACATTTGTAACAGCCAATATTTTGTAACTAGGTACAGAAAACATGCGTATTAATAAATTATTTCTTTATTCCACAAACTAGACTATTAATTTCGTTTTGGCATTTTGCATTGATTCACTTACTGGGTTGATTCACTTTTCAAACTGTTGCCAACGAATATTAGCGCCATGTGTTATATTTAAAGAAACTAAATAATGAAGAATTTGCCTGAATGCATGAATGTTTCTGGCTTTGTGAAAAGAACACTGTACCTAGAGCCATCCAATTTTGAATAGCGTAGTTCTCCAACCGAATATGAATACCTGGAAACGCGAAATTGGAATTTGGGATTTTTTTTTATTGTCTAATTCATAGTTCGTAAAATTGTCACGAATTTTTAATTAAAAAACTGAAATATTTCAAAGCGAGCAATGGCAATATTGCACATAAAAAAACACTTTTATTTCCAGTGCGCGAGACTGTGTATTAGAAATTCTAAAGATATAGAGTTTGGCTTTTTTTAAATATTTTGTGATATTGCTGTTGAGTTAAATTTTATGTGGTTTAAGTGCGAAAAACATGATGTTTAATAAATGAAGTCAACACACAAAACGTTAAAAAAACGCCCTTTTGGGCGTAATGTAAAATCTGAAAGTTTCAGATTTTTTTTTATATATATATTTATTTATTTTTTTATTTTTAGAATTTATATGCGTATTTTCTGCTGCAATAACTATTGAGAATAGGCACCGCATGGCAAGATGTCTTTCAGTATATTATACTGACCTTTAAGAAAACTATCTTTCTTCCTTTCTCAAAGAATAAAAGAAAGTTAGAATTTGAATAAAATAATCTCCTCTAAAGGAAACTTATCAGAAAGTTTTTCATAAGATTTGTACTTGCTGAGTGTGTAAAGTAAGTAAAAAATCTAAGCGAACTTAAAGCGAAATTAAATGTTTCTCTTGCCATACAAGAATAAATAGCAAAATCGTGTTTGGTGATGTCTCATGACGTCTGATTCTCGCTATTAAACGTTGGTAATATATCAACAATAACCGAGAAAAGAAAAAAGATACCGAAAAAAATTGTTCCTCTTTTTCCCTTTACCTCAACCCTTAGACTCATTTTTTTATTGATTTTTAGTATAAAATGCACAAAGCTGTTCTTCTGAAATGTACTTCGATTATTTTTCTATTCTTCATCCCCTCTTTTGTTTCTTTTCATCTTTCTCAAATCCTGTGCCACAGCTGTGTAACAATACAGATCGTTTGAATATTGCTGTTATCTTTACACTAGTGCAGCAAATTCAGTTTTTAGGATACAGCCACGACATTGTTGAAAAGGGCTTTTGTGATCAGTACAATAAAAGGCCGATTCAATAAAAATTTGATGCATAGGCAAATATCAGCACCATGACCACATTTTACGTCAATCCACGCAAAACGCGAGGAATCAGCGCGTGTCGTGCAAAAAGAAGAAGGTAAGGCGCATTTCCAAGCTTTCTTCTGCAAGATAAAGTGAGATTGTATGTACAATATGGCTACAAAAAAACATCAGTAAGGCTTTACGCTAGGCAAAATGATTTGCAAGTCTGAGGAAAGGCATAGTTTGACATCTGTAGCTCAAGAGTTAGGAAATGATAAATGTTTTGCTTCACGAACTTGGAAAGCCTTCAGATGACAGGTACAGCTGTAAGAATGGTTGGTGGTGGTCGGCCAAGGAAAACAACGGTGACAGATGCTAGACAGAAAGCAAGATTACTCAGCAGTTGCGAACGGCAACCGGACAACAGGTGTTCTAGTTTACTGTGGCCAGACGATTTCATCAGGTGGTCTATTCACATGCCGTCTTGAATACTGCATACCACTGAGACCCGCCCATGGGCAGCGCCATTTACATTGCTGTAGAGAACACAAAGATTGGACACCTCGTTAAGGGAGTCCCGTCCTCTTTACCAATGAGAGACTTTCAGACTGACAACTGATTCTTGTTGCTATCTGATGTGGAACACATTTTCATCCCGCTAACATCAGGGAAAGATACTATTGAGCTTGTCCTGGCGTGCATATGTAGAGTGGCGTTGTGATGAACAGCCGGACGGTGCTCCATTTTTTTACAGAAGTTTTACTTATATGAAATCTCAGTTATCCTCTCCTACACGCCTCTTTTCCGGGATCCCATTGGTGCCAACTCTTTTTTTATAAATGACTGTGCAAGGTCACACGGGACTCATTCCTATGAGGAGTTCCTGCAGAAATGAAGTGAAGATATCCACAGAATTGATTGCCCAACATGCTTCCCTGATGTAAATCTCATTTAACATATGTAATATACTTTGGGAAATGCCTAGGAGAACGACCTTACCCTCCAGAGAATACCAGACAATTGAAATAGATGTTCCTTTAATAATGGAAATCTTATCTCAAAAACTATTAGATAATCTGATTTTGAGTATCCAGAGACGGTGCAACGCAACTATTGCAGTTATAGGAGCTCATATTCAGCTGAAATCAGAAAAGTTGCTTTTATTTTGTATACTACTGTAAAAAATTAAACTTATGACATCAGCAGAGTTAAAGCTTTATTAATTATAAAACTTATTTTTCAGACCAATGTTAGAAAATATTTAGAATCATAAAACTGAAGCTTTTAAGAATTGAATATTTTATTAAATAACCATTCATTACATAATCTTTTACTTAGAATCATAAAACTGAAGCTTTTAAAAATTGAATATTTTACTAAATAACCATTCATTACATAATCTTTTACTTAATTTCAGTTAAGTTCTTCTTAAAAGAATGGTAATTTAGTTCCATTTTTACCGAGAAAGTAAACATTTAAGAGCTTCAGATACTCTTTTGTCCATTTTTGCTCATTATGATTTTCTATAGAAGCAACTGACTTATATTTCGAATATCACTTAAAGCAGTAATCTGAAACTGTCAGCCTGCCGACCACATGCGGCCTCCCAAACAATTTTAGAACGTCTGTATATTTCCTGTAAATCAATTAGCATTATTATGTCTTTAATTATTATGACTAGAATTTGAAGAAACGTTTTAAGATTTGAATGATTTGGAATCCGATTTTACATCGTTTACATTACCATTAAAAACAAATATCAGAATTAAAAACATAACTCCCCAGAAAATTTCCACATGAAACTCTGATATGAGTCTTATTCAAAGATTTAAAGACGCAAATTTTATTAACATTTTTTTATACTTGTAAAAAATAAATACTCTCAGTTACGAATTTTCTCCACTAGAATTATCGTTTTGTTAGTGATACATTTATTTGCGACAAATGTTTTTTGCAGATGAAAATTAACAACGCTAAAAAATGAATCAGATTAACTGATGATAACTAACAATTCTGATGAAGATAATTTGCAGTAATTTTTCTCGAACGTTATAAATTTCATCAAAATAGAGCTGCCATGTCGTGTTGTATCAGAAAGCTGTAGCAAAAAAAAAGATAAATTTCTAATTTTACATACAATAATACAATATGTATTTCTTGCTGTATGCGTCAAAGAAACATTCGCGAATAAAAGAATGAGAATAGGTTGCCATTATTTATACTCAAGTTTTTTTTCACTTAACCTTTGTATTTTGTTAACAAATGATTTTTGACCCGTCATTTCAGATCCTGTATATGGACAGCATGCCTTTGAGTTTAAAATCGTTGCCTTAAGATATCTGAATACGAAGTTCGGAGTACTTTTTAAAAAACACAAAATATAATAAAGAAATATTTAAAACAGTAGTATAGAAAATTAGGGAAATTTTCTAAGCAATTTAAAAGTTCTGCATGACTTATTTGAAACAAACAGCAGAAAAATAAAATACATGCTTCATTCTAGTTTTCTTGCTTTTTCTTAAAGAACATTATATTTTAATACATAAAACTTTTGAGTTAATCAAAAAATATAACTATTAGATTTGAGAGTCATACTTACTATGTTAGAATTAGGAAAACAGACCATTACTTGAAAGGAATTCACACAATCGATTTTCTTTCATTGTTATTCACTAGGTAATAATATAAAGACAGAAAAGTAAATAATGATAGTAATATTTTAAACCAGAATCATAATACTTTTATGGTACATTTACATAAATGAAATTTTGAGCAAGTATCATCTCTGAAGTGAGAGAATCAAAAATCATTCTTGAAAAAAAATGAATTATAAATATAAATTATTGTGCTTTTACTGAGAAAATGCATTTCCATTCTCAGTCTTGCTACATTTATAGGCTGCATCTATTTGGACTTGTGATTTTTATAATTGCAGAAGTTTTCTAATATTTGTATCAGTTTTCGAATTTGACAGGATGCAATGTCTTCCTTGCATTTAAGCAGCAATTGTTACGTACAAAAAAATTAAAAGTAGTGAATATATTTAATTTGGATCTTAAAATTTAATTTCCTCGAAGAACACAGAGACAACTGGTGCCGGACACATAAATTAAAATAAACATCTATTCTATCTGAAATCTCGAAACTGGGGATTGCAGTTAAACTAAATTACATAAATTATCAACTTTGTAAAATAAATTATATTACTTCAAAGCTCTTTTAGTCAGTACTTAAGGGATAATACCCTCTCTAGTGTTTTGGTAAAATTAAAAGATTATTTATCAAAAAATGCGGAAATGCAATTCACTACGAAATTTTACAAATACTATCTCGCTTCAAAATAAAACTATATCCTCTGTCTTTCCTGAAAATACATGCATCTCAATGCGATAATTCCTAAACTCAAGAGATAGCCGGAAACTCTTTTATCTTTAAATACAACTACATGACACCTCAAAACATCAGGGATGGATTAACCACTCAAGTAAAAATTCAGTCACTAATTCAAATAAAATTGATAAACCGATCGTATAGTTCAAATAAACATAAAATTAATTTCCCTACTACACCTCCTTAATAAAATTTTCCCAGGTTCGTTTCGGAAGAATCCATGTTTTCCTTAAGAATCACATGGGGAAGATGAAACCTCTAAAGTAAACATAAACAAAATTTATGAATAAAACATATTTATTAATCAATAATTAACATGTGTTAAGACAGCTGGCCAGACTACTCCTGCAAGAATATTATTTTTAAAATATTCATAATTTTACATTTCAAATTCTGAAATAATGACCAATAATCTACCATAATTTATTAGTAAGGCATTCTAAATAATAATTATTTAGATATCACTGAAAACTAAAACTCATTCAGTTGCTGAAATTTCTCATTTTAAATATTTTTCAAATCCTACCAAATTCAACAAAACCATCTTAAAATTATTATTACATTCTTTTTTTAATAGTTACTCATAAATATTGTTGATTGCAAAATAGTATATATGAAATAACATTGAAAATATTAAGTAATGCAACTAATTAACAAAACAATATAGCAACAAGCAATAACTGAAAATACACTCACGATTGGCGATGTACATCAGTCTGTGGCACTCGGGGCGTTGGTTTGTGACCATTTCTTTGCAGAATAGTCGAATACTTCAGTCGAATACTTCATCGCTGCAAAAGCAAAGTCTGATGCCTACCTCCTCTAAGTTAGCTTTCCCCTTTTTTTTCACGGTAATCGTTGAGTAGCAAATTTTGCAAACTCTGCCATATCCTATTACGGCACATTAGGAAGTCCAGTTTATTTTTGACGAATGTCCATAACTTCAAAGGCTAAATTACAGATGAGGGAAGAACAACGAACTTGGAAAAAGGACCGCAAGCTCGATGATTAGATGCTCCCAATGAAGACAACTCCAAGCAACAGACAACGGGAGATGACGATTAACCGCTTATTAAGTTTTATCTTAAATCAGGCGACGAAGCATAAGCATCTTGAATTATTTTACGACAAAAAACCAAGGAAGGAGAAAATAAGTTCTCCAAGAAGCAGCTTATCCGGGAAAACGCGAGCCCCAGTCCAGTTCCTCCATCATAACTGCCCACCAATATCACGAAGAGAACCCGCAATGCAACTTTTCCGGTCCCCGCAGCTCGCAGATCACTAGAAAGCTATAATTTACCTCCTTTTTTCTTTTGTACCAGGTGAAAAAAATCTGCTCTTGCCTGTCATGTTACAACTTTTAAAACCTCGGTATCTCTAATATACAGACTGCCTCTATATTTACTATTAGTTCAAATTAACTACAAATTAATATTTAACCAAATCAAACATTTATCTTGAACTCTGTCTAACTAATGAGGAAAAGGTTAATAATTTACCTCCAAATTTCTCGCCCTAAATTTCAAGGAATGTTTTTTGCCAAAGATGCGACACCACTAGTGATAAGCAAAGCAGAAAATTTTCATTTCAGAAGAAAGACGAAATTTTCTCACCTTCAAACAGCGAAACACGTGTGCAGTTTGGAAGTAAAGGGGGTGCAGGAGAGCAGATAATACATCACCCGCTTTTTAGCTATACAATTCTTTTCACTAGCTTATTAAGATCTTTACCGCATTTAAATGAAAAATGAGTTTAAATAAGAATATATTAATAATTAGTTCTCAGATATTAACATTCATAAATTCATTAAGCACTGTAAATTAATACACAACACAACTGAACATGACTGCAATTGCTGCATTTTGTAAATTGCAAGTCTACTATAATTCTGTAGCTTTTCAATGAAGACATCCTTTAATTTTCTATGACATTAAAGATCTTATAGTTCAGTTTGCAATTTCATAACCGAAAGTTGCCCGGCTTCTAAATAATCCAAATATACTTATATTTTAACCTATTTTTAAAGTATTACTATCAACCCAAAATTTATTCAAAATGTATTTTTAAAAAACTACCTTTAAAACTATTTAGCACAGAAACGAAAATAAACTCGTTTTGAAAAAGTAAGTGTTCTATCCAATAAAATAATTCAGCAAAACGAATAATTTTTTAACACTTTCGGGTACCTTAAAATGCAATTGGAAGTGACTTAGCTTTAATCTCCACTTTCTAGCGCTATAAATATATTTTTTAGGAAAATTTCATTATTCTATACAAAATATATCTCCATTTAATAGCCGAAATTAAAAGTACATATAGGTATAGTATATACATAAAGTACATATTTCTTGAGCAGCAACAAAGCTTAGCATACTTAAAGGCTCGAATAAGTTGATTTTCCTAAATACCATATACAGGCCATGTGCACTTCTGTACGACGACATTTGGAAATGTTGTCTCACAATAACACAATGGGCTACACATTATGATATAACGAATGTCAAAGAAATTACTTTTATCGCCATTATTTTCATATTGATCTTATAAGATTATACTTGATCTAGTACTACTACGTTCGTCCTGTAACCCTAACAGACATGAGTGAGTTATTGCTATGTCTAAGATAAAATGAAAAAAAATCTTACGTAGAATTTATCACAATTTTTTTATTTATACAGTATTTTGAACACTTAAGTAAGCAGACTTTGTGCTACAAATAATTACAACAGTCATGAGAGTTCAAGAACAGTCAAATAGATATAAACGTTTATCAATAGTCTAAAACTACACAATTAAATACTAAGCTGGCTCAATAATTTAACGGCGTATAAGTTTAAGAAGTGATGGTGGCACGTAGCTTTTCCTAATTCCATGATTTGCGAGATTTGTAGGATTTGCTGTCGTAATGGTCATAACAGACGTAAAACATTCTTTACTAACATTCAGCTGAATCTGTGCCTCATTGCTTGAAAATTTCTTTAGAGGCAAGAAGAAGACATACATAGTAATAGGAAATTAAGTTTTAAAATATTTCGGCTGATCCTTGCAGGTTGTAGATTTGATGTGAAAGTGGAACTGTGTATCATTCCCAGAATGTACAGGAAAATATAAAATGTGGCTACCTAGAACAAAATAAATTATGGTAAATGAACACTTAGAGCTACAACTATTAAAAAATACAGTGATTTGCTTACTTCTTTGGCAATGAATCTCTTAAACGTTGGATTGCCTCTTTAATATTTTAAGGCAATTTTTCCTGCACTTTATATGAAGAACTCAGGCTCTTTTGGAACCAGGATATTAATCACATCGACTAACCAGAATACTTCCCAGACTTTATCAAGCACACGAGTAATACTGTAGCCACTTAATGCTGGTTTCAAGCCCTCTACCATCGAATAAACTTATCCTCTTCCATATTCTGAAAGAAAAATGCAATCTCCGATAGAATTCGCGATTTCAATTCATGGCGGAATAGTGTTAAACATACCACATAAGTTTGCAGATTAGGTTAAACAGATTCCATACTGGTATTTTTTACCTTCTAAACACTGGTAAGAACTGTACCTCTACTCTGCAACTGTCACCTTCGAAAATTTGAAATTCCTTATTCACTTCTTAATTTCTTATAATTTACAATTTGTGTAATTAAATTGCAAGTTATTGTATTCAAAATACGTTTATTTCTCGTTTATTTCTACGTTTATATTCTCGTTTGTTTATATATATTTCTCGTTTGTTTCTACGTATAATATTCAGCTAAAACGTTAAACATCCTTAATTTTCGGAAGCAAATGTGTTTATATCTTATCTGTCTATATGTAAAATATCTGATTTTAAATTGTCAAGCTATTTCACAAAAGAAATCAAAAAACACAATGAGGCAAATCAGCAAATCGAATAGACTGGATTGAATTATTTAATTATGGCAAAGCACATGAAGGCTATCTGCCTAAAGGTAGGGATGCCTTCTTGGAGGACTTTCTAAGGGAAACTGGCTCGTATACACGTTACACATGGGGAGAACCACGAAAACGCCCATGCAGCCAGCCCGTTCGCGACAAATCGAATAGAAGGGAATGTTGTAATTATAAACCTATTTCGTAAAATTCCGTTAGAGATTACCCAAACTTAAATTTCTGCTCAACACGAAGTAATTTTTCAGATAACAGTCATAAATTAGTTGACTTCAATACCCATTTTTTCAGAAAGAACTATATTGGTTTCAATAACGAGGGTTATTCCATTACTCAGTCAAGCATTCGCAATCAATGTTACGTAAGTTCTTCATCTTACACAGCCAGTCGCCGAACATTTGAATCCTGCTACATATACTAGTATTTATGAATAGTGCAATGAGCTTCCATGTTGGCATAACGGTAAGAGAGCCAGCTGACATATCTTGAGCTTGGATTCGAATTATGGAAAGCAAGCAGTTTTATACGTATACAGTGTCACTGGGGTATCGAGGATATAAAATACTATTGATCGAATGCTACATTAGAGATGTTAGTGGTAGGAACAGAGAGGCGTATAGGACCAGTATCTGTCCTCTGGAGTGAGGAGACTGCTGTCAAAATTCTTATTATCACCTATAACGTTCCGGGTATAACGTTATAAATTGCGGGTAAAGGTCAACGCTTGATCAACACCAAGCGCTACTCCTTGTGTTCTGCCCATGATAAACTTCGTGTACGTGCTCTGGCTAAGGACTAATAGTAACAGGATCAGGTGAATCTGCAATAAGGATTAGTAAATCATGAGGATTAATAGTAACATTAATAATATAAAGTTACAAAATAATTAAGTTAAAAATAAAAAGTTAAAAATAAAATATCAATAGCATTTTTAAACATCTCGATGTCTAATAGATTACTTAAGAAATTTCTCTCTTTTTTAACAGTGGTTTTTCATACTGCAATTTAATAATTATTAATAGATTTTTATTTTTTCTCTTTATTCTTCTTGTCAGAAAACTGAATGAAAGAAATGAAATAGGAATACGGAAGATGAGAAAACCTATAACCTTCCTGCAAGTGAAATCCCATTAGTATATATGTGCATCCCATTAATATATACATTAATATATTAGAAAGCAGTTTGAATAATAGATGTAAGCGAATTAGTTTTCCTTTTTTCTTTTAAAAACGAAGTTGGAATTTAATATTCTATGTTTCAGCTTAAAACTAGCAGTTTTGCTTGAGGGAAGAGGTTAAATTAGAAGAAACAGTACTAAAAAAACTCTATTCTACAAATTATATAGCAACAATAAATTATGTTTATTTCGCATCGTTTACGGATAATTATATACCGTACAAAAATTACTGTAAAAGTTAAAAAACTCTATTAAAGATATACCAGATCACTTTAATAACAGTTTTGCGCATGTTCTACTCCGCATAAGAACTTCCGTAATTCAAATATCCGTTTAAACCACAAATCTTGACAAACACGCAGAATAATTGAGACTTTCAGTAGACTTCGATCTTCACAGGCAGGCGCTTTTTTTTTAGAAATATGTCGATCAACGTGGTTATTCTGTTCAATCAGTTTCATAAAAAAGCGAATACTGACATTTGACTAATATCTCAAAGCTCCAGTAAATTATTATCATTATATATATATATTTATTATATATTGAATAAGACGCTGTAAGCAGTTTGTTCTTTGCTTTGCAAGAATAATAAATTATGAAAGCTTATGTTCCAAAAAAGAAAGACAGAGTATAATAGAATGTCTTTGCTGTTTCCTGCTGTGATCAACGAAGTACAAAAAAGTTGTTTTTTGCTTCAAGCGAAGGAGATGCAAACCCATCTCTCTTTACTTTACTCACTTTCTTTCCTCTGTGCTCTCAAATAATAAAAGGAGCTTGTGTGACTTTGTGAATTATATTTATTAGTGAAGGATGGACAACTTGTTGATCTACTCTTAACTTAAATTAAAATATTTTAATTTAATTATTTACATCATTTTAAAGCAAGCATAATTTTGTTTAAAACTAAAATAAAATAACTGCCAGTATGATTTAATTTACTTTAACCTGGTAATATGAGCATTATCACACTGATAACCATAATATTGTACTTTTAAATAATTGTAGATATTGACGGTTATTCTAACTTCTGTTAAAAATAAAATCTTCTTAGATCATATATGCATAATTTCCACCCTCAAATGGATGAGAATTTCAAAATTTCCTTCAGTTGTGTTTCAAAAATATATTTATCCATATCTGTCTTTGAGGTTAAGATTATAATTATGAAGTTACCTTTGTAAAGATCATTTCAATTTTAAAACCCACTATTTTACGTTAATTCCCGTTCCTATCGAGCCCTCCTAGAATTCACATTTCCAGTGCGTGATATTCAAATTAAGTAGAAAGAAGTATTTAAAGGAAGGTTTTGAAGCGTGTTCTGCCTAACAACGCAAATTTGATTTTGATTCTGTAGCGATTAGAATTCTGCGGCGTTGAATTATTTTTGCCATTAGGCTTTGCTGCTTCGGTCAGAGCCGTCTTGGGTTAAACTGCGAAGCCGTTAAGTTAAACTTAAATTTCATTAACTTTAATTTAGTCTTCATCTTTGATTTAATGCCAAAAGAGTTGGCTTCTGTAAGCACGAGTTAGTGCCATTTGTTAAACTGTATTTGTATTAATAAAAGGGTTCTTTTCACCCTTTCCCTGTTTCTGTGGTACTTACAAGACATAGCAATAATTCGCATACCGTCTTTTAGAGTTTTGGATCTAGTTTACCTTACCAAAGAACAGCAAACTCTGTACCTTCAATACTCTGTACCTTCAACCTAACGGCTAGCACGCAGAGAATCTTAACCTGTTAGACGTATACTGCTCTCAACAATTATTTAGCCATCAACACAAGCCATTTATTTTATTTGATATCTAAGTTTTTCTTTACTTCCAAATTTTTCAAGGCATCCAAATTTTTTTATTCACATCCAAGTTTTTTATTTTATATCCAAGTCAAATAAAAATCCAATTAAAATTTATTAAGCCACACCTGGAGTATTATAACTGATATTTCTGATATTTTTAAGTGAACTAAAACAATGACTTCTAACCGGGTGAAAGTTTAAAGCAGTGTCCTTTAGACTCTACTAATCTTACAAGCGAGTTATAGCTCTAAATTAATATGACAAAGTACTGTAAAGATTAAAATAATACTTTTATTTATTAACTCTTTAAATACAGAAGGCACTACTTGTGCTTACAAAAGAAAACTCCGCAACTTGCGGGTATTTAGAATAACATAAGTGGAAATTCAGATTTAAGTAAAGTAGTCGGAGACAGCACAAAATGGTTTATTTAAACTGCCTCAATGTAACTGCCCGTTTTCAACATCGGCTAGATGGTTAAAACCGGAATAATCTCTGGCAGAGCTCTCGACAGGCCGTAAACTGCGGGCAAAATTGTCAAAAGCTCTAAAAATAGATTCCGTAACTTTGTAAGACCTATTTTTTTAGTTAAAAAATTCCGTAGCATAAATATGTGTATAATTTCAAATACTTTTGTAACCGAAAGTATATGTCTGCAACCAATAGTTCTGAAAATAAAGGCCGCATGAGGACTGTTATAGACGCGGTCTATATTACATTATTGTTTAAAATAAGCATATGCAAATTTGACAGAAATATGATGACTAAAGATTAGAAGTATTATGCTGGCCGGAATACATTAGAATTTTTATTTTTAAATAGAAAAATAAAAATAATTTTTTTTAGTGCGACGGTAACGTTTCCATGATTGACTCAAGATGGTCAATATTCGGTTTAAGGGCGTTGATACTAGCAACGTGTTTTTCAGGTGCGCATCAATAATTCGCGACTTGATCTTGGATTTCCCAAATTTCGTTCTTTAAAAACTTTTCTCGAAATTATAGGTGCTTCCAAATAGCGTCATTTTTTCTGTGCAAAAGCTACCAGCTTTAGAAACTTGTTCCCTTTTATAAAGTATATTTTTTATTTTTTTAGTATAAAGTCAATTAGTATAATATCCTTGACTTTTGTCTTCAGAATAAAATTATCTTGTAGTTAGATTAATAGCATTTGCAAAAAAGTAGTGTTATTTCGGCATCAGCATCGAATGGAGAGGAGACAATTCGGTAAGTTTTCTTCTTCTTGGTTTTTATAATCACTGAAATTAATGTTAAGTTCTTGACTCAAATCTTCAACTCATCCGCAAACGATTAACCATCAGAATTTTTTTTCGCAGGTGGGGGAAAATGGTAAGTATTGCCTTACATTAATTCACTTTCCTCGAGTCGAAAATAGTTCTGAAATGATTTGATATTTCATAAAGCTCATATATCAACTGCCCCTGAGTTTGTAGCATAATATTGGGTTTCGAGCTATGTTGCAATAACGATAAGAAATGAAAGATCGCATAGCTTCTAACTATGAAATGAA